ATCAGGCTAGAAAGGAGAACTAAAGGCGGCTGGTTAGATTCAATGCCGTTTTAGGGTCAGTGCCTTGCGCTTTAGCTGCAGAGGACTGACTTGCAGTAAACGATAGATAGAGCTTTCAAAGTGCATAACCTATGTGAATTACGACTATGTGCTATCTATCTCTGTCATACAACGGAGACTAAACTATGCAGCTGACTGTGCAAGGCCATAAAGGAGTCTTTCGAAGAACTTTCTATGCCACGCTATTACATGTCTATCCTACCACACGATGTTTCCCCGTCCCAATATTCACAGACTGTACTCCTGGTGACTCCATCTCTCATCGTATTCATGTATTGTTTTGCAGGAGAAATAATAAAATAGATTGGTTGAATCCACAAGATGTTTCATACGAGTGAACACAGCCTGACCAAGTGAAAACGTGATATGTAGGCCGATATCAACGATCACCGTCACTTGAGCGAGAGCGGTCACAAGGTCAACCTGGCAGATGCGATCTGTCGTGTTACGTTATCGCGATTAAAATCGGTTACGGATGATGGAGATTTTACTCACCGTTCACTCTAAGCGCTTTCTGCGCTACCTCTAACTGGCTTAGGCTTTAAACAATTACCTTCAATTTCATTTTTGAGTTTGAGTTACACCGTGTCTGTTGTTACTGTCCGGATGCTATGCGTTTGCAATTGATGAAAACATAGGAGCGAATTTTCTCTCGCAGCATGTCACCATCTATCACCTCTGTGAGAGTTATTTGATGTTAATATTTTGGAGGTCACTGATAACATTCCCAAATATTTTGTTTCTGACCAGATCGACTAGGACTGTAGGAACATGACACAATTATCAAATGGTGCTGTTTACTTCAAACGACTGGCTTAGACCTTTACTCAACCGGAAATGTATAGGTATTGACCTTTGTGAAAACGGGAACTGAATGGGACCAAATAATTAGCTGAGTCAAATAGGCATTCCAGAATACTAAAATCAGTAACCTAATTAAAATCTGGAGTGAGATAACTTAAGATTCCTCTGTTTCAGATGCGTTAGAAAATTTAGTTTTACACTTCGGTGAAAATCGGAACGCGATTTACATCGCAGTGGTTTTCGTGTTTACTCTGCTTTTTCTTGAGCATAGCAATGAGCCGTGAGTTCCCCTTTCTTTTTCCATTTTGCTAACTTTTATTGAATGTATAATGACACAACTTTCAGGAAGGGGGAAGCAATCAATTAAAGGGCTGCCCTGAGCGAATACTACACGATGAAGAAGTGAAAAAGTCAATCAGGAAGTCGAAGTGACAAGGTTAGGGGGAACCCATTTAAATCTTTTCTTTCTTTTCGTCCTAATGCAAGATCGCAATTCGAATTACATCAGAATTCACAAGAAGTCATCTGTGAAGCTCTAACTGTCACTACGGAGGTGACCGCACTGGTCAAAGATGAACTCAATCACTTTGTAGGATACTTTTTATAGGTTATTATTATTATTATTGTAGGTTATTATAGGTCATTGCTCTTAGGTCGCCTTCGCAGATGAATGCATGGAGAATTTCGGGTATCGCCGATGGCCGTACAAGACAGCTCACTGGACAAAGCATTTTCCATATATTCACGGTGAAGCGACCGATCGGCTGTTGTCTCGAGAAGTGATCTGTCGGAGACCTTTGATGGTCTGTGTTTGTTTTCTGGAAGATTTAACTTTATATAGAGCTCTCGACAGGCTGCAATGCGATGATACAGTTTAGAGAGTTAAGTTACTTGAAGTGATCACCTTGCAGTGAGCAGTCGTACCATATCCTATTGATTTGCGTTCGAGGATTTGTGGATTTTCATGATCTAGTAGCCACGAGTACTGAATCGTTTGGTTAGATAAGCATCATCAGGGAGCGGCAAAAGAAAACAAATTTCAAGATTACCTTTACTGTGGTCTTTGGCAGCGACCACGGCTTATGCTGCTGGTAGTGATGATGATGACAATGTTGGTACACTTCCTAGATGCTTAAAACACTAGTTCTTAATTTTTCGAATGGATCCTCTTAAAACTGCAGTCGAATCTACGGCACTCATGGGTTACCCTAAAATAATTGTCTAATCGAATAAATCTACTGTTTTTTTTTCATTACAAACATTCGTGTGTTGGACTGCAGATAGGGAGAACCTCACAGTCGTGAAGGCCTGCAGTTCAGCAATGGAAACTGAATGCCTGAGCAGCTTGACTGTGACTAGTGAACCACATAAGACCTCACCACAGCAGGCGTGGTATTGAACCGAGGACAGCGAGGCTGCCTATCACCAAAGTTAGGTGGTGGTGAGGGAGTTCGACTCTCGGACCAGAGGATTTAAAGTACGCCGATGATGAGGTAAACAGTTCATGGGACAATGGACAGAGGTATGGGAAGATATCGGTTGGATCTAATGTTTTCTTGTGAGAAGAAACAAAAGTTTATCAAAATGGGCAACTACAGTTGGATTAGTAGACTAAACTTACACATGCATCAAAACACCATTTCTTGAATTCCATATACTTGCACCATTTAGCCACAATCTTTACATCGCACGTACGAAGGGCCAAATCTGCAAGTGAAAAAATGTCAAAAGGACTGAAAAACCAAAAATGAGCGGGCATTTCTATTTAAGATACTATGTGCTATAAAGGGTGGGCGGAATGAACTCTGTAGTTAAGTAAACCTGCTGATTACTTGTGGTCACCAGAAATATAAGCCCTGAACGTTGAAGTGGTAAACCACATTAGTCTGTAACGAGGTAGGCGTGATCAGCCAAATAACAATGCTACTATATAGCAGCAAATTTTGATGGTATCCATTGTTGAACGTCGAACATTATCCCGAAGCACGACGTTGACAGATACTCTACCAACCATAGACTGTGCACAAATTATACTTACTAGCGGTGTAAAAACGGAAATGAGCGATGTGGATCAAATATGATTGGTCAAACCTGAACCAATAATATCACATGTGCTTCACACTGCTGAGGACCATCTAAAGGTTTCTCATATAATCCCCACCGAGAATTTAATGATGTTGAAGATGAAGTCAACGAGATGAGATGGAGATACATCAGTAAGAACGCATATCCTGAAACATCTGAAGGCTTCACCCTTAACAGCATAAGTAAAATGATGAGCCACATTCAAAGCGATCATTCGTGAGGAATCGTGTGACATGCTTGCTAGCGAAACATAGATGCCCGTTCGCATTACAGTGTGTATTCACGGCAGAAAACTCACACAGAATGCACCCTATGCAAACGAGTGAACCACATAGAACGTATGAGAATGGAGGTCAATAACTAAGGCACACATACACAACAGCTTTTTATCAGCATGTTTTGCAATTAATCACATGATGGCGCAACGAAAATCCATTTTTCTTGACACACAAAAGCTGACAGTTGAAAAATAAGTAAGGAGCATGAATGTATAATTCAATAGAGCAACTCGTGCAATTAAGATAGCTTCCCCGGTTGACAGAACTCCGACAATTAAATTTCTTTCAAGTGAGTAATGGAGAATTTGATTCAATTTTAAAGGTGAATTCGTCATGTATATAGCAAATGAAGCGTAAACTGAAAAGCTAGGAAACACTAGACAACTGTTTCGACTTGGTTGGGTTACATCAGCAGAGCGAATCCATCCACCCAACTGAGGAGAGAACCCGGGACCTCACAGGCAGAACGCAAGCGTGCTACCCACTTGATCCCCAGTTGGGTCGATGGATTCGCACTGCTGATGGTACCCAACCAGGTCAAAACAGCTTCCTAGCTTTTCAGCTTTACATGAAAAATTGACCTTTGAAATTGAATCAAATCCTCCATTACTCACTTGAAATAAGTAGTCCGGTTGTGAGTGTTTCCAACCGAGTCATAACCCCGGAGGCTAGTGCTGAGATGAGCGAGGTCTGTGGTCTGCAACAAGCTCGCAAAGATGGGTTGTGCTATACCACGTAAATTGAACATTAAAAACGGCCTGATCAGCTTCCCGGTGGCCTAGTGGGTAGCACGCTTGCGTTCTGCCTGTGAGATCCTTCCTTCCTCATTTAGTTCACTTGACTCGAACACTGTTTTTCGGGAAAGATTGATAGTAGCGTCGACAGATATGAATTTCCGAAATAAAGGCCACCATGATATATATATATATATATATATATATATATAGAGAGAGAGAGAGAGAGAGCCAATTCTGCGGATAACAACATTTTTCTTTTGTTTAGTGCAGGCAATTGACGTTTTAGTTTTGAGATTTGGTTTGATACTATATCCCGCAGTGTCTCTCACAGAAGACAGTCTGAATCTTTGAGGCTCCAGCCGGGATCTCCGATTGAAGCCAAATCCAAGCACAATCTCCTCAACCCTCTATTCCACATCATAACCTGCCCATCTCGTTGTTTCTCCCAGTCCGGACCAATGTTTGCAAACCGCACGGTATGGCAGACGTTGTTCGGATATCGTAGGACGTGGCCACCTCAGACGATACAGTGAAATGGTTTTTCTTATTGGAAGAGTATCTAACCTTGACATACGTCGTCTGACATAAAAGTTACGCACGCGATGATCCCACCATGCGCGGATGATACCGCGGCTGTTGAAAACGGATAGTCGTTGTACATTATCTGCTTGGAAACCAAGTGTCACAGCCGTAAAGCAACACGACGCGTACCACTGCGCAATACACACAACCATTCAGTGAAAGGGATATGTTGCGTCGGCGCCAGAGATGCCGCAGATTAGCAGGCACTAATCTAGCTTTGATTATGCATTGACAGATTTCCTCGCCCACACCTCCGCCAGCCATTATGCAATTCCCCGGGTAGACAAAGCTCCCGACTACTGTAGAAACAGGTTTCTACCAATCTTCCAACAACAAACTGCACTTCGGTGATTCAACGGACATAACATAGCAAGCAACCTCCATTGCCAAACGATTCAGTGTTCTGAATCGCTGATGCGTTGTCACCGTGCAGGGCAATATCATCGACACTCTCTTAGCCTACGACTCCGAGAGGAAGCTCGACATCAGTGTTTGCTACGTTAAGTAACGCATTTTGTAGAACATCATCTATGGCCAAGCTGAAGAAAAACAGGGAGATAGGGCAATTCTGTCGTACTCCAATTGTAACAGAAAATAAAAGTGGAAGTTTACCACCCAGATTTGCTGTCGTCCGGTTTAATACAACACCTAACCTATTGGGGCCTTATGTGGTTCGCCACTCCAAGTCCTACGGGGCTTAGGTTGCCGGTTACCATCACGGAACAGCACGTCTTCGTGACTATGGGGTCCGTCCCGTCTATTCATCACACTCAGGTGTGTAACAAAAAATAATAAATAGGCTCTAACCTTCCCCGAGATCTGATGGCAGTGTTTTTAGAAACAGGAGATACCTTTCGGGTAAAGATAGCAAATCAGATTTATAAGTATTTACACTGTGGTTGAAATCCCATTGGGTTCAATGGATATGCACTGCCGGAGATTTTAACAACGGTGATAAAGCCGCACGGTGCTTTCAAGGTAAACAACTGCACAGCGAAGCCGCATACAGGTCTCGTTGTCACCGCGTTGAAGCTTCCCTGTTAGTAGAACACCTGACCATGATCAGTTTTACACGTGCAATTATTGCATCAATAGGAGAATGGTTATCCATTGCTAGCAACGCTTGGCACTGATCTTTGTGTGGCTCTGATGAATGACAAAGGAAAGAACAGATAAATAAATAAGAATAGTATCCCAGTTCTTTCAGAGAAATGAACATATAATTCTTTTTCATGTAGAAAATATTTTTGTAACTATTGATTCGGTAGGGTCCACTTGAAGTCGCGCTAAAAGTCAGACCTATGCTCCTCAAAGAATAAGTAATAGTGTAGTGAAGTAAAATAGAACAAAAACAAAGTAACGGACTGTGTGTATGCTTTACGCCGGATAGGAGAGTGGACGCGAATCGTCGTAAAATAAAGAATACTTGGTCACATCGCCGAAAAGGGGTTCTAGTTTATTTACGGCTTACAGTTCATCCCTGAAACAGGCGGCATGGTTAGTCCTGCTTTGAAAAATCTAAAAGTCCAAGGAAATACGGGCAAAATTGAAGCATTGCGGAGGATCACCATTTCGCTGAAATACACTCTTGTTTCAAGAGCTTCGATTCCTGCTCTGAGAAAAAACACGCATGCACAAAGTGTTTTTCTCTTCACTCTATGCGATCTATATTTCAACGCATGCATATATGAGTCAATTTTGAACTCGCAAAATGTAGCTACCATTTTGTCTGCAGCAGACAAATGTTCGGGGGGTTGACACACGACGAGTCAGTAGAGTGGATAGAGACCACTACCCTAAAAGAATTGTGCTCTCAGCAGTTAGAAACTAGTTTCAGTTGGTACAACCACTAACCGTGCACTTTCGTGCGGTAGTAACCGATCTCAGATGAAATGCAATAAAAGATATGAAAAGTATCTGAGACAATAACCATAAAAAGTTTTTTTTGATTTTATTGAATCCATTACGAATGACAAAAAGGAAATCCCTATGAACAGAAGCTATCCAAACCGAAAAATATGATCGACAGGTTTGAATGATTAGTCCTTTGTCTTGGAGAAATAAGAGATACTTACATGCATGCTCATAGGCTTTTGAGGTCTCCTTCGAGAGAGCAGCAATCAGACTTGGTTCATGTTTTAGTTCGATGGCTCGGGCGACAGTCACTGGGTGAAAATGTCAGTAGGAAAGGCATTAGCTGGCATCAGCAAGAGTAAAACCGGAATTAAATCAGACAATCTAGGTACTTCTAGTTACAGGAATGATAATTAATCAAACTTCTCCAACAATTTTGAACAGAAATTTGAATTTTTATTCACTGTACTAACAAAGAGGTGGCCGAAGACTCCTATTATCGGTTCATCGATCATGTGGTAAAATTCCGAGATGATCCGTCTGTTTCGCTTGTCGGATGACGATTGACGGTAAACTTTGCAGAACTGATCGTTTATAGTGTTTGGTAAATCAGAGGAATTCGAAGAACGTTGACATGATTATGCAATACTAAGCAATTATTGGCAAGCTTTCCTTCATCACAACTCTCTCACTGTAGCATGATGAAAGCTATCAATCAATCATATCTATCTATTCACATAAGGCCTCAGCAAGACAGATTGCGCGTTCTACTGCAGTCCTCCGTTTGCAAACGATCCCAATTTCTTAAATCTCTTTTGTTTACGGTTGACTGTATTTCTCAACATTTCAAGCACCACAGACTTCGTAAAACCGTGACGGACCTGTCGTGAAAAATTTGTATTTAAATTATCATAGTGATTCTTTCTTTTGGCTTCCGTCCCCCCGGATGAGATGCTTCAGAGTACTAATAGACATTAATTCCAAGTTTATTCACTTCTATTTACTAGGCTACTTGACTTTCTATCTCTCATCCTCGCTCATGGACTCAATGAAAACTGTGTTTCATCATGATGATCGTTAATAGGTATTTCAAAAGATGACCATATTTCAACTGATACTGAATAAATTTTTTTTCTGTTTGTATCTGGACATAAGTACCCGTCTGATGTGTCAAACTTTTATCATGTTTCCCTTTCATGTAACATGGACACATGTGCTGTCTGAATTTACTTTCATCTTATTTATGGAAGTCAAGCAACATACCGCAATTCAGTCACTTCTTACCTTCCTAGAAAGCTCATAACAAACAAAAGCATTCATAACAAAATGGAAAATAAAGTTTATTCAACTATAGTGACGAATTATTTTGCCAGATTTTTCATGTGGAAACATCGTCGTGGGTTGTTAAAAACATATGCCACTTGGTGGGCAAATAAAGCGCTCAGAAAAAGTTCTAGTTAACTGAGAGATTAGGACGAAACATTCTCAAAACCACTGAGTTGCTCAGGGAATGAGTCAAATGTAAGAAGAAAAATCCCCGAGGAAAACGGCACATAAGATAACACGCAAGAAGGTTCATGTGTTTGTGAACAAAGCTGTAACAAATGGGTTTGGTTTTAAAACATCTGGTTAATAAACCTCATAAACGTACCCTCTTGTGCCTCAGCCAAACATTGGCTAATATAAGCTTCGAGTACATCCACGTAAAGATCATGACCCGGTTGCGCAGGAGCCAACATATTGGGAGCATATTTATCTCGAAGTAGTTTGAAAATACCAGCGGCTTGACGAAGCGACATGTAAACCTCTTTGGCTTCCTCTTGCGAAACTCTTCAGTAAAGGAGTGGTGATAGTAGTGAAGAAAACACTGTGACTGATTCGAATAATTAAACAAATTTGTAGTACAGAAATTTTTCCCTCTGCTAACGATTGATGTTATTTCACATGCGTCTGAGGCTAAACTACATGCCTGACGAATTGTCGTGTAATCTTTTTGCCAAGGTAATCAGTCTGTGATTTACTTGTGGGCTGAATACTGCCAAGTTTTACCGATCATAGCAGGTGGACTTTCTAGGGAATTCACAACCAGAGAGCTTACTTAAAGGGAATAAAAACTTCTGGAGAACCCCTTCACTGAGGGCCAGACTCATGATACGGGTAGTGCAATTGGAAAGGTGAAAGCATTAGTAGCCTTCGTAAGCTTAAGTATGGCGGTTGTGGGTGTCTCGGGTTGTAAACCGTTATCCTTCCCTTACACCACGCGAAATGCCTCTGCTAAGGATGCCCTACTCACATTACCTTCCGGCAGCAGAGGTGTTTTCAGACCGGAGTGAGGCGACGAAAAGCCAACAACAGGGGTCAAAGCCGGGTTGGTGAATCCCTGGCAGTTCACCTAGGGGAGTTCGAAACTCTTAAATTACTTATTCCTACTTTTATTCATCAGTGCTCTTAGGCTATCTTATTTTATTTTTCTAAGTAGCTTGGATGGTGGTGGGGCAGGGGCTTGGTCCCTGTCACCGGCGGGCTTTGGACCCTGTGATCCGAGGTTTAAGCCGAACCACCACCACTCGACTTTGGTGGCAGGTAGCTCTGCTATCGTCCTGTTCAATACTATGTCTAATCTATCGGCGCCCTATGTGGTTCGCCACTCCAAGTCCCGGGCTTATGTTGCTGGTTTCCACCACTGTGACTATGGGGTTCGCCCCGTCTGCTTTTCACACCCAGACACACACACATATTGGTGTGTAATAAAGAAAACTCCTGAATATCAGAAATTAAGACTGTGGTGCCCGGATTATTAGTACGGTTTTACTGATTTCTGAGGATATAAACGCAATCCGTTTTGTAACAAAATTTGGCTTCAACTTTGCAGAAAGGATCGACTGAAACTCTAAATACCCTCTGTAGTACGTGTTAGTTNTGTTAGTTCCGTTTCTCTACGAGTCCTAAATTTTGGCACATTCAGTTGACCAAACCAATTTCTTGTGAATCGGTAAAATGACCGATTCGGACGATTCAGTTGGGGCCTGTCCGCTCTCATACAGATCCCAGGAGTTTAGTCAACTCCGAAACCAACGATGAACCTCCATGCTTAAAAGCTGAAGGGAACAGCCCATCCGGGCCGGAGGTCCTTTTTTAATTACACACCTAAGTGTGATGAATAGCAAATGAGGCGAACCCCATAGTCACGAGGAATAACTGTTCAGTGGTGAAAACCGGCAACATAAGCCCCGGGACTTGGAGTGGTGAACCACATAAGACCCCACCCAGTTAGGTGTGGTATTAAACCGGACGACAGCAGAGCTGCCTACCACCAAAGTCGGGTAACAGTGACGGGGCTCGGAACTCGGACCACAAGGTCCAAAGCACGCCGGTGACAGAGACTAAACCACTGCTCCACTACCACCACCGGGACACCGCCATTTCATATAGAGGACCGGAACCAACTGGAAGTGTTTGCCCAGTTGAGATGGGAGGTGAGAGGTTTGATGTCGATGGGGGCCAGTTGGTTTCAGCCTCAAAATGTTCAGCCCATCAATCAAGACGGCGTTGCTGCTGATTGATCGGCATATCTTTTTTCACATGTACGTTAACAGAAATCACTGTTCCCTGACTAGCCCACATCTCCTTCAACCAAGAGAATATAGCCAATGAAACTCTTTCGAAATTTCGAATGTGGGTTACTTTCTGTGATCTCCGTGATTCAGCAGGTTTTCGTATTACATCTAATAAATTGGTTGCCAGATGAAGTTGGTAAGGGTCCTAAGATTCAATGGAGTCGCTGGAATGAAATTTCCGTATGCTGTTGAGTTACTTATCTTTTCATCAAATGATACGCTACAGCATAAAAGTGAAACTAAATAATGCGAAGAATTTAAATATACGTTGATATTGACGGAATACTGGGGAAGTGAACAATAGATGCCACTTACATTGGTATGGAGAGGGGGATGATGCCTGGTTTTGTTCTCACTCCGCATACGCGATTTTTTAATGACACAGGCCATGGTTTGCTAATGTATTTGTGAATGTGAGTTGACTAAGAAAGTGTTACCTATAAATAATTCAATTTATAAGAAAGGGTTCACATTGGATAAGGAAGTTACCTTTTTACTATACGGTCTGAGAAGAAAGAATATGCAAAACTACTCGAACAATCTACCCATATGCTATCGAAAAGGAAACAAAAACTTGATCTAGCTAAAGGATGAGAATGATTTGAGGTCAATCAAAACGAAGAAGTTGCCAGTTGTCGACGAAAATTGTGACCATAAGTCAAACAATTCGTAAACAAGGTCGTTGAAAAGGGATGAAACATGGCGGATAATAACTAAGCCACGATAGAAAGTTGTGAAATCTTTGATTTTAAATAAACCACTCCAGACAGCTGAGTAACAATAAAGAGAAATGGGGAATATGCATAACAAGAAATTATAGATTGTCCCACTTAACTATCGTAACTCGCTACTACGGAGAGACAATCGTCTGAAGCTACGTACCATCTCACTGAAGTTGAAAAATCGCGTACACTGCGCGTATACTGTCTCCGGCGTTCTTTGGACCATATGTTCCGAGATTCGAACCCCGCCACTCAACTTTGGTGTTACGCAGCTGTGCTGTTGTCCGGTTCAATACCACACCTAACCCGGCGGGGTCTTATGTGGTTCACCACTCCAAGTACCGGAGCTTAGATTACCTGTTTCCATCACTGAACAGCAAGTCCTCGTGACCATGGGGCTTTTCCGGTCTGCCGATCATCACACGAAAATGTGTAATAAAAAACTGTACAATCAGTCCAGCTTTACGGTTGTGAGACGTTGAATTTGCGGGTAAAAGATATCCGTCGCTTAGTGGTTTTCGACGATCGATGCTTACGTAGCCTGACTCAAGTGGGATGAAGTGAGCGGGTTAGTAGCTCATAAGGCGTCGGGTGTTAGGGAATGCGTCGAACAAGAACTCGCTATTGCATCGAATCCAGCTCAGTAGGCTGGGTTAGACACATTTTGCGTTGCTCCAACGGTTGCCTTCCGCAGCGCGCCTTATTCGCAGGCTGGAGAAAGCCACGTGGAGGCCAGCAGAGAACGTGGAGATGAGACCTGAAGAAGTATACAGAGCGATTAGGTAGTGTAGGTGTCCCTCGTCTTCCGGAATGGGGTTCAAAAGACTCCGAAACCGCATGGTTGGAAACAGGGAAGGTTATGGTTGCGAACCGACAGCAATGGCGATCTTGCTGTCACTCCTTATCAGACCAGAATGTTTGAAATAGTATGTATGCACAGCTGGACTGTGTATTCTGTGTGTTGACCATAGAGGTTCGCTTTCTCCTCCCGTCCATAAAAGTAAGTCCAATCCCTATCCTCCTCACACATTCTCACTTACCTTGTATGCAACATTAGTTTGGCAATGAACAGTGAAGTTCGCTGCACTGTGTTACGCTGTACAATGATGATGATGATGACCGTCACACATTAAGTTAGCTGGGGATCCCTTGAAGTGTAACGGTCGCCGAGGAAGGTTCAAAGGTTGTTTATATTATGCCACCGTTCTGTCAGTTTTTCCTCATGATTCAGACCCTGAATTTGACAGTACAAAACATTATCGATCAAAAGTTTTTGACGACCGACGTTTACGCAATTAGGCATAGGTGGGGTGGAGTGAGTGGGTAAGTAATCACAAGAGTGTCTCATCGAATAAGATTAGTCGGATTCCATGGTTACAACACGTACTGCACGAGCCTAGCAGTCGTCTGTCGCACTGAATCTTATTTGCAGTTGCCTTTATGGACTAAAGAAAATTAGGTGAGACGATAGAAAATTCATATAGATTGGGGTTGCAAGAATGAGTAGATGCAAGAGCGCCACTGTTTGCGACGTTCTGACATATTACTCAGTGTCCCTAACTACCGGTTACCATGATCTTGGGGTTCCCATCCAGGGTGCCTTACGGAACCCGTGGCCCCACTGCTACCCAACTTTGGTGGTAGGCAGCTGTGCTGTTGTCCGGTTCAATACCACACCTAACCCGGCGGGGTCTTATGTGGTTTACCACTCTAAGTGACGGAGCTTAGATTACCTGTTTCCATCACTGAACAGCAAGTCCTCGTGACCATGGGGCTTTTCTGGCCTGCTGTTCATCACACGAAAGTGTGTAATAAAAAAATTTAAAAATGGTACGCTCAGTAGAATTTCTCGGTAATCTGTCTCATGGTTTAATTAATGTTAGGTGACTTTATCTTACTTGAGGATGACTTATGAAGGAATACAAGAGGGATCCTTGGAACATGGAACAAAGTGGTATTCCCAGTGCCACTGAGCACCTATATTCAAAACATGTACCTCTAACCTTTTTGCAAAGATCGAGAGAAGGAAAATAATATCGTATTTATTTTTTCCAACACGTGAGATTAATAAGAGATCACATCATAATTATTGCCGCATTATTACTTACTCTTCTTTTGCGGAAATCTTCGCAGCATGTTTGGTGTGCCACAGAGCCAGAAGGAAACACATGGAACAAACTTCGAACATCGCATCGGGCTCCATCCTGCAAAATAAAAATGTTTTGTGAAAATTGACTTACACGGGAGGACTTCCTTTTGGCAGAACACTGTCGGTCCATTTGAACGTGATCAACCTGCGCAGTTTACTCACCGTGTCTTTTGAATTTTCCGGAGGCGTGATGAAACCCATTAACAGTGACAAGTATTGCTGGAAGTCGTTGTGGATTGCTTCTGGATCCAAGGCCGGATCTGTCATCAGCGTCAGCAACCGTTTTCTTAAAGCTCCGAGGTCACTGAACAGAAGATTAACCGTGTAGAGAAAAAAAATGAATAGCATAGATGAGTGTAAATTGATTGAGTATAAATAAATGGTTTTGCTAAGTTATCACATTAAGACCTCGAGTGTCACTTTATTGTTTGGCATGGGACAGCGCAGTACATGCTTATAAGAACTCGTCGCACCCCCCTACTTGTACATGCACATTAGACATACAAAGCAGAATCCATGGATTATCCGCAAATTAAACATGCTGCAAAAGATGAAATAAACAAGATCAAAGGTAAAAAATAACGAAAATACAAATAACACATTACTAAAGAAAGATGTACCGCTGTACATTGTTAGTTTGAAAAACAGTCTTGTTAGCTCCCTTTACTGGAGTTTATTTAGTCTTTAGTTTCTGTCACAGTTTCAGTAGAACAGATAAATCCTCCCGTTTGAATACCCATCACAAATAACAGAATGGCATTGAAGGACATTGATATCAAAGCTAGTTTTTATTCTGCGGTTGAAAGTTGGAGAATTATAGAAGAGGAGGAGAATTTTTCACAGTTTAGTAGTTTACGTGAACAGAAAGCAATGTGATAGTGGCGCACAATAATTTTTCATGAACGACTTAAGGTCACCAAGCGGATGTAAGAAATAAACAGAAAAGGAAAGAGCACCGAAGGAGTAAGTTACAGGGATCCGAAGCAATGGTAGTCTCTATTAGAAGAAAGTAACTCAGCAAACCGACAGTGGAAGAGCGACGAGCGATGTTTGCCGAGGCAGGTAGCGGTTGAGAAAAGATCAAGGGTGATCAAACCAAGACCCGGTACGAGGGTATAAAAACCACAACCAAGAGACTGAGTCACGTAGACCCCGTTAGGTTCACTGGCTGGGGACTCCGAGATTATGGTCACCGATGGTTAGAGACACTGGGCGATATGGCTGGGTGACGCAAACAGTGGCGCTCATGCAGCTAGTCATCATTCTTGTAACATCGGTCTATATGAGTTCTATATCTTCTGTTAGAACCTGCTATCAATATTCCAATCTTCATTCTGCTATTTTATCCAGATTGGCAGCCAAAAGACAGCAACCAAAAGCGGCGTGTGAAAGTGCATGGTTAATGGTTGTAAAAACCAAAACTGAACTGATTATAAAACCGACATTTAATTCAGAACATTTGCAGTAACAAAGATGTAGAAAGCTCAAAATCCACCTAAAACAAAGCTTGTGTTGATTGAATGTAACTTCGCTAACATAACGATCGTTGGCTGATGAGATGCCTTATGCCCCCATGCTGGGTGCATAAATGTGCTGCGAATATTTTGAATCCAATATAACTCGAATAATGAAAGTCACGAGGTGCAACCACTCCCCCAATTCTACACGGTTCGACCTCTCCGATTTCCCCATGGTTAACTGTCAGAAGAAACATAGTCCTATTCTGGAGATTACTATGGTATCAAAAGGGGGGATCGCCGGAGTTTTTTCGATGGTACTGAATCCCTGGGATCCAGGGTGATGAAGAAAATATTGCAATCTGGTTGGTCCATTTTCTCTATCAGTGCTATTGCATTTTCCAATCGGGAAGAATCTAGACTGTGTGCAACCGTGTGAAGCTAACAGTATTCTCTATTAGTCAACGCACCTTTTTGGCGCTTCCAATAAACGCTTGCGCCATTTGCAATTTTCTTTTGACTAGAATCGTTGGGAAACGTATCGCGGGCCAAGATTCGGCGATAGACTGATGAACACTAATTCATAGCAAAATTCGTATGGGTAGATTCAAAAACGAAACGGTACGCGTTGTATGGATGAATAACGAAGCATTTTCACATTGCTTTTCAATTCCTCCGTCGTTGCTGGCTTCTCATTAAGCATATTTGTTCCACTCTGAACCGGTCTGGTTCAATGAAAACGTTCTGTGCATTCTTTTTCCACAGACAGTGGCCAGTTTTTGTTTTAGCGAATGGAGACAGTTAATTTCTTCCTTTCTCTCGAAAACTCAGACTTCACGCGCCCAATCAGACCAAGTATGTTTTATCATCAATCAATGGCTGACAACGGTGATTGTTTTTCACGAGCAGTGAAGGATCAGAATAGAACGGCCGGCCCTCGTAGCCAGGTCCACCGGCGATTCAGGAGGGTGTATGTGAATGGGCTTGTGAGTCATGGTCGCCCTTTGTTACCTGACACGGTTTCACTGGATAATATGCAAATAA